GAAGTACGTCGCTTTGAGAAGCTGTTCTCGGTCGGACTTTGCTCCCGAGTCGAAGATCCCGTTGAGCGAGGACGTCGCGTTACTCGCGCTCGAACGAATCCGGTCGATTTCTGTCGCCGTAAAATTTGCCGGAATTTCCATGGTGAAATTAGAGCGACGAAGGGAGAGTGGGGCGTACGCGTCGACGAGCGCACGACGAAACGGGTCGCAGAGGAGGATAGACGCAAGGCAGCCCGGCGCGACGGATAAACCAACGAGCTGGAGTTCGCCGAGAACGGTAAACTAATTTGCAATTTATACCTACGTCGGGGAACGATCCTGTCACTTGGCTGCGAACCGACGTTCGACTGTCGCCTAATATCAAAGAACCCTTGACGCGTGCCACCCCTCGTCGTCGAACTCTTTCCCTTTGCTCTGGAAAGAGGTACAGATTAGGCGAAAGAAAACGGAACGAACGGGTGGATTATAGACATTTTTTTGGGAACATTAAGTCGATAATCACAAACGTGATGGGAACTTGCGGCTTCTGCATTAGGTATTCTAATACCTGGTTTGCACTGGCTGCCTGTGCGACACCGCTCAGAATACATCGGCTCCCAATACAAGCGTATTGTAGAGCTTTTTAACTGGCTCAAAACTGAGGTTAAAATTTCTGCTCGTCATCGTTGAACCGATAGAAAATGTACACCTACGATCGACGAAAGGAAACGTGGTAGCAACTGTGTTCCTGATCGAAGGTTGGCAGAAAAGGCGAATTGCTCTCCTTTCCATGCGATTTCTCGAGATATCGCGAAAATGCGCACACTCCAATTTGCCGAAGCTTCGCGCACTCTTCAGCATCTCGTTTACGACGTTACGTGGAAAGCATACAGCCGCTTTGAGCGAACGATACGTGAAAATCGAAAGAACGGTTTCGAGTTACTTTGCTCGTTGCGTCGATGGATCGAGGATACGCGATCGCGTTCCCATCGTTTCCATGACTATAGCTGGGTCAACGAATCGCTCGAGAACAGGCGAGAATGTGGTCCCTGGAAAGGAGAAAGAGAAAATGTTCTTGGACTCGTGGGGCAAAATAGATCGAGGGAGAATCAGTAGTTTATACAAATTATTTTATTATTCCTGAAACGTGTCAATGTCGCGGAACGGGTCGTCTAGTTTTTTTTTTTTTCGCATAGAGTCGATACTTCAACAACGGTAGTCGTATATTGGATCCGCGACTCGGGGTTTATTTTCTATTGGAATTTAACTTTTGTCGAACACATTTCTCACGTATCTAATTCTGCCGTCCAATCACTCGGATTCTTGTCACGCGCATCTAGGGATTATACTCATCCGGTAACACTGAAGCCACTGTATATAATGGTCTTATCCCGCCGTACCAGGAATATGCATCAACCATTTGATTCTCGAGTAATAAAAATAACTGAACTTTATTGAAAGTATCCAACGTGAATATTTATGATTAATCTTGCACCGAATGAAACCTCCGATGTCTCGACTCGAAATAGGTACAATTTTATTCGGACAGTCTCTGCTGTTCGCTTCGTTTGCTTAATTTTTATGAGTAAATAACTGCGAATGACAATAATATCGACAGTTTTCTTACTCGATAACGGATATATTTGATTAATCTCAATTCAAAGCGAGACATCTGTTTGCTATTTGTACATTCAATTACTGCTTCGAGACAATGAAAAATGTAGTATTGATTATTCCTCGTTCTTCGGCTTGTATTCATTCATTTCGTATCATGTAATATGCGTACAGAATAGATGTAATATTCAGACGTGATAATAACAATGATGATGACGTCTGTACAGTTTGCATATATCTTGCGTATTTGCATGCGCTCTGCGTATAAATACAAATTTGCATATAAATATAATCCGCGGTCCCACTCATAATATTCACCGTATATAAGTGGCTTACTTCTCAATGAAATTAAATAAAGAAGTAAATCAAACTTTAAATGAAACCCTGTACACCTCGTTGTCGTTCGTACCTGAACTATCGAGTGTCAAAGCATCGTACAGTTGATTCGCGAGCACACTGTGTCGAAGATGCATCGACCCAACCCGACCCGAGCTGACATGGCTGTTGAATTTTACTTGCCAACTTTGTAATCCAATAACTCGTCGTCTAGGTTAGAACGGGTCGAACGATCGAACACCGTGCCCGATTCGAGTCCCGGCATTTCCCCTAAAGGTTCGTTCTCACGACTGTTAATTCAGTACCATTAAATATGACCCGTCTTCCAATAGAAAATCCTCTACCTGTACTTCGCATATCGATAACCAACGTTTCCAATTTTCGATCGCTGTCCACTCCTTGCGACAGTATGTTCGCACGACAAAGCGGTGCAAATTCGAGAGGAAGTTCTTAGATGGATAAGCCGCCGTTCCCACGATCCCTCCCGCCTCACCTCCTCGACCTTTATCATCGCCTCGAGCCCCGAAGACTCTGCTCGCGAAGGTTGTCGACGATCGTCCAAATTAACTCGCTGGAATCGTCCTTCCCCTTGGCGCGCGCGTCTCGAAACGAAATCCCTAGTCGGACCTCGTTCCTGACCCTGTTCCACCCCCGTGCGGGTCTTCGTCGTCTGGCCGGTAATTACAAGCCCAGTTAGCGTCGAATCGAAGTTTCTTCCGGTCGGAAACGACGGGTGTCACGGAATCTGTATCGACGGACCTAGATCGAAGCCTCGAATCGACCATCCAGCCGTGGAAAGCGAGAAATCCAGAGCGTCCCGCCGACGTCCACGGTCAGAGAACCACGCTACCCATCCCTCGAGGGGATTTCGCGGATACTTAAGTTGCACACGACCATGTTAATTAAAACGTAATGAAATTATGGCATACCGTCGCGCGTCCTACAATTACGGCTAGCCGGAATATGCATTCTAATTAGTGGCGCACGGGTTGAACGAGTTTTCACGAAGAAAATAAGGTCGACCGTTGGGGTTCTAGAGGGTGCTCCGTATCCCTGAGAAGCGCGCAGCAAAATCTGTAATCCGCGACGTGTTTAGGCCTCTCTATACCTGGTTAGGTTGCGGGGGAAGCGATGTTCCAAGGAAACGACAACTGGGGGCGCAGGTGATTCTGGGTAATTGGGGCGTATCGGGACTGGGAACAATTTGGATTGATTAGTCGGCCGTTCTGTTAGTAGGAAGTCTCGTGTAAATAAGTTTTTCCGAGGCGGATGGGTCCTTTGAAGAGAGACTATCCTTTGGTCAACACACAGGGTACAAATATTCTACAGCATCCAAAAGGAGCAACACGTTCATGGATAATTAACGCCGCAACGTCGAGGTATCAAACAAATTGATAACGAAAATCCTCCTGAGCTCGCTTCGAACGAAAGAACACTGTCGAGCTCAAAGGAGAGAAGTCCCGAAAAGCAGCTCTCTTAACCAGGGAGTATAGAGGAATAAGAAGAAGCTCTTCTGCTCGAGTCGCGGACCACGATATTGCGAGTGATAAATAAATAAAGCGCGAGGAGAGGATATCGAGATTCCTTGCTTGGAGGGGATTGACGATCCATCCTCTTCCTCGTCTTATTTTTAATTTTATTTACCGTACTGCTTGGACGCTCAGCGTAAACTCGATACGTTATTGGCTAGCGTCTTATCGATGTCTTTACGAGTTCTTCTCGCCTGGCTTCCTTCTCAACTGTAAATAAAAGAGAAATATCGCGTCTCTTTCGTTGCGGTGCTCCACTATCGACATGGCTCCGCTTGGCTTCCGCTTGGAACCACTGGGACCGTTTGCACTTGCTGGTTTTTTGCATGCTTTTCTACACACGATCCCAAAGATGCATCAGCTAGAGGCAAGAGACCCCCAACAACTCCTGGCAGTACCCGCCAGCATGATTGACGATTTGAATGAAAAATACTCGCGGAAGATTTAACGGACCCGAAGAGTCACTGCGCGACATTCTCGCGAAGGATGTAATTACCTGGACCGTATTTCTTAGCGTCAAAGAAGCTGTTGCTACAGTCAACAACCGGTTGTGTAGAGAAATGCTGGAAGACGTTTTCTTTAGTGGGTTTAAAAGCTTGGACTGGAGGACACGTGGAAGGGTGTAACAGCCAAAAGTAGCGAGTTTCAGATGGTGTTTGCGCTGTATAACCCCGTAAACGTATAAAAAGATCAAATGGTTCTGAAACGTATAAAAAGATTCTGGTCCTTATTCGAAATCAAGACGTTTCGCGATTTTGACGATGTGTAGCAGCTAGGGGTGTGCGGGATTCCCGAAAGTGTTGTTATTCTTGAAAAGCTCAGCAATCCAAATATTTTTGTGTTCTTCGAGCTTCATGATCATGTAGCTAAGTTGACAGACCTTGTATACATTGCTTAGTAAACTTAAAATAGAGAAACCTAAAATGTCGGGAATCATAGACGTTTTCGGGATCTTCCCGACCCGACCCGGATCTCGCACACTCCTAATGCCAGCGGCGTTCAGAAACGTTGAGCCGAACCGTTTGTTTTTGTATCGATATGTGATGCAAAATTCGAATTTAAAAGTATTATTTTGTGATCGCGTATTGTTAATTAACAATATCTATAAATGACGATACTTTGATTAAAATAAGTACGGACATCGTTCTTCAGAGATAAGCGAGAACGATCCACCAAGTTATTCGTCGCCATTTTGCACCGTCTTCGATTACCTCCCACTGTCGAGCGAATTTATCGATCTGATTATCACGGAACGAGTGTTATTGACCACGACTGGGGTCAGTAAATTCAGAGTTACAAATGTCCCCAACCGAAATGGCGAATGATGACGTATTCCCTTCGGTGGTCCGCTGGGAATACGGCAACGACGATTTCGGCCACGCGATGCGTTCCACGCGAGCTCGTCGTGCCCTCGATAGATCCACGGAACGGATCGATCGATCGATGAAGCGAGACGCGGACGGACTCCCGGCGGAGGAACCCTTGGACCTTTCGACGGCATTGCTCGTCGACGAGGTTGCAGCGCGTCCAACGTACCCTTACCTGCACTCGAGGAGCGCGCTCTTGCCTCTGAGGGTGTACGGCGGTACGTTTATGCGAATCAGCTTCAGACCGGCAACTGCAACAGAAGGAAGAAACAAATTTTCAGAGATGATCGTAAGCTGCTTTGCTCCGGGCAATTTTTCCGTAAATGGGAAGCGGGTAGTAGCAGAGAAGATTGGGACGTCCGACTGGGAAAACCGCAGCGTCCGATGCATTTCCGTCGCGGGAAGCCTCTATTCGTTGAGGATACGGTTCATAACGCTTGACCCACTGAGAACGACACAATGGAGGCATTAAAACAACGGCACTTCGAACGTACAACGTCGGCCCTCGGGATATTTCGACGATAAAATCTCGCGACGACCTTCGAGTCGACTCGAGTCCCTTAACCTCTCCCTCCTGAACGTGGGAAGAAAAGCTTGGAAAGTTGTGATTCGATCGGGCGACCGAGAGTGGAGGGCGAAGGGCGCGAGTCGATGGATCGTACTAGATGTTCAAACAATGGTCCGCAAACTCCATTGTGCCGTCCTTTGTAGCCGTTCTCCTTTTCTTCCTCCTTTCCTTTCCGCGGGTGTTCCTCCCTTCTAGGTCAACGCCGCGCGCCGCTAACCATGAAAAACGCGGCGTGATGCAATTATCCGAGTTGACCGCTGCCCGTTCTCGTCCACTTTTTCGCCCGACGAAAACTCGATGATTCCTCCGCGTAGAAAAAAATAAAGGGAAGCGGAGAGACGAATAAAGAAACAGGATAAACGATTTCCAATCGATCCCGTCGAGCATCGCGATACTTGCAAAACGCGAAACGTCGGCTGTATGCGCGAGCGCGCGCGCGGTCGAGCTTGCGATTCGCTCCGCTCAAAGTGGTTCGCGTTTAATTAAGCCAGCGCGATATTTTACGACACCGTCGTCGACGTCGTCGTCGACGGTATGCGTGGATATTCCACCGAGGGTCGAGCTTTCCTCCGGATCGTAAAATATACCATCCGTAATGCACCATTACGCCAGACCGGGCAGAAAGTGGCAGGCGAGTTTGGTTGAATTATTCCCTCGGAGGGACACAATTTTTCGTACGTGCTCGGCGTGATTTCGATGCGACTGCCTTGCACTCGGACGGCACGCCTACGAGGAGCGAGTCTACCCGTATCACGTGGCACTACCTCGCTTGTCGTTCGGACTTTTTACTCGAGAAGGCGCCAAGTCCCGTGTATTTGACGTTCCCTCGTTTATTCCTGGATCTCCGCTTTCTTGCGAGTTCTCGCTCGACCTGGCATCCGAATGTGCAGGTTTCAGGGATTCCATTCAGTCGTTAGCAAGTGTATACCCTCGTTTGTTCTAGCACTGAATGTCGTTCCAACCGTTGGTTGGCTGTAGAACTTCCACATTCGATAACGAGCTAATCTCCAGTAATTGTTTACCTTTTTCTGTTTAATAGCCAGTCGAGGTTTCAGTGATTGTCTAGCTTTTGCCAAAATCTCAAGAATGGTTCTTTGAAACATATTAACTCTTTCTAGGCCTTTTTTCTGATATCTGCGAGCACCTCGAGATATTTCTTAGCATTCTATTGCCATAAATTCTAAACTATCTTGTAGATTTGAGAATAAGGTCACCTTTACCTCGCCGACAATCATTTTATCGACACTTCGAGCTCCAAAGAAATGAAACCTAAAGAAACATTAGGTATCGCAGATTTGCTGCGTGAAACCTAATGGTGACTGAGAGTCACCTCTCGAGTGCAAACGGTTAAAGTCACCCTGTGGTATGCATTAGAATTTCGAATAGGCAAAGTTCGCGATTTGCGCGTTCCCATTTGATTCGCGGGAAACACATGGCACGGAACGAACTTGCAGCTTTTTCCATGCAGGTTCCCCTTAAAATTCCTTTTGTTACTCGGATTCTACGGTGATCGAATCGTGTGCTCGCTTTGTGAATATATTTTCAGGGAATGCGGGCAACAGGTATTAAAATTCTGTACAAAGTGAGGTCGGCTTGGATATGGTCCTGGCTCTATACGTAGTAACCACCGCGAGACCCGGATGATCGATATAATTTAACGTGTAATTACTAATTACATTAACAGCAACAGCGCAGTGGAATCATTAATTACGCAGCGAGCAATTTGAACAAATTAGCTGCGATCTTTTACGTGCTGTTTATAATAAGCACAGATTGATTATATCTCACTCGTACAATGAGTGACTATGGTATGATTTTAGGATATTCTACCTACTTGTTTAAGACAGAAATCCTGAATAATTAACATTGTGTTTTATTTTAATTACTGTTGTTGATACTATTTAAGGAAGTGACAAGGGCGGTCCATCGTCTCTGTGTCGGCTCTAAATACTCACAATACGGTTCTAAATCTTCGTTCACGACATCCGAGGGAGCCGATACCGCGCCACGAAGCACCGTATCGCGCTTTCCTCGAGGGCAATTTAACGTCGGTGACTTTTGTCCTTTGTGTCTCGGACGTTTCGCGTACGTGGACAGCTTCTAAGTTACCCTCCCAGAAAAGAACGGACCGTTCTCCGCGGTTAATCTCTCCTAGGGCTGTACCGTTTAATCCGCCACTCACGAGCCACGATGCATTGTCCTTCTAATTACCCCGGCTACGATCTTAATGGACTCGGGAATGTCGGGTGAGTCGGTGTCGGGGCGCTCAAATTACGCAAACGTGCGAGGACTCTTTAATCAAAATTCCGGCCACCACGTCGGGCACGTTATCGCATTTTTAATACGCAGGGCAAACGTTGTGACGTTTGGCGCGTTTCGAGGTTGCAGAGAGACTCGCGACTCGTTCCAAAGGTGCCATCGGTCGTGCTCGGATTGGGACGCGACCAGGTGCGTATCGATTTGCATCTCTGTCCCCTGCTGTATCGGTGGGACGAGTTTCCATGAATTCGCCTAATGAAGATCGACTTCGAGTCCACGTGACACTCGAGACGAACGTAATTGGGAAGGGGGAGCGAAATAATTGATAAGTTTCTCGAATGTCGAACACGTTGGTCTGAGCACAGGATCACGAGAAGATGGGTTCGAAACGATAGTCTTCTTATTTCTTTTATCCGTGTGTTAAAAAGACAATGATGAGAAATTAGGTTCTTCTTCTTGGGACTTGCAGAGGTCTCGTAAACTCTACTATAAGGAAAATCGATTATTCGAATCTTAGTATCCGATGCTCTGTCTCTTCCCGCAATTTAATTTTATTGAATGGCGAGAGTGTATTTCCTCCAATATATTCATAATTCGTAGCTTCATTCATTGACTTTCATCGCAAAACTCATCGGTAACTCTTTACTACTGCTCTCGCAAGTACATAATGGATAATTGTACTTCTATCCAATGGTTACAACCACAGCAAAACGCCCAATTAATTTGTTCAATTTTTTCTTTTCCTCGCTTCTGTCTAGATCAAGCTAGAATTTGTGAACGTCCTGGTACCTAAAGTTGAGTTTATCCTTTTGTACGTCGGAGTTTGCTGGTTGTGTTCGTATGCATGAGTTTCTGTAATTATAACGGTCGGTTGAAACAACGTTTCACGTTACGCTTTTACAATGTTTCGCTAAAACTTGGTTTTTGTGCTAATCCTTTTTTTTTAATAGAAATGAATACGGCACACTCAGCGGTTGATTGGCATAAAATAATTAAAAATGATGGCTCTTTTTCCCTGAATTTTCGCAGCGTATTCTACCTTCTCTCTGTTCCTCCTCTCGCGCTCGTGTATAACACTTTTTTCATACAAGATATCGTCCGGGTTAAATAAGTCAAATTCAATTAATTGATAATAATACAATCGCTATGCAACAAACGAAGGGCATGCCGTGTAACACTGCTACTCATCGAATTGGTTAACTCGATTATTACAGGTACCTCGATTATCGCAGGAATGTTCATCCCAATTTTCTGCATTAAACGAGGATCATGTGTAATTATTGCGATATTATTTCTCTGATAGCTCAAGTACGTTATGCAATAATAGAGATTCAAGTGTAGCTAAATCAATGTTATTCCCAGGAAAGCTGAAGAATATCATACAGTAAATCTTTGAAACGATGCTTCTTTAAAAACACCTTTCAAATTTCACGTGCAAGTGCAATGCGCATACCGTGAAATAAATTGCTGAGAACAATTTTTTCTTTTGGCCTACACAGCGTCATCAATGCGTGCTCTGCTAAATCAATGTTATTCCCAGGAAAGCTGAAGAATATCATACAGTAAATCTTTGAAACGATGCTTCTTTATAAACACCTTTTAAATTTCACGTGCAAGTGCAATGCGCATACCGTGAAATAAATTGCTGAGAACAATTTTTTTTTTTGGCCTACACAGCGTCATCAATGCGTGCTCTGCATAACGCTCCTTCCTTTGATGTATAATCCCCATCGTTTTCTCTTTTTTCTTTTCATTTTACCTCTCGTCCGTTTCTCCTTCGACGAGGCTCAGGCGACTCGTGTTTTTTGCCGTCCATTGACGAGCACCGAAACCAGTACTTATTTGCGTCACCTGCATTATCTTCGATATTCCCATAGATCTTTCGTTGAAAAAATACATTGCTATTTGGTCTACAGTTTCAACTACATATATCAAAGCCAGAGTGCAGCTTTATCCACGACAGATTTTACATTCATAGCGCCTGATGCTGCGCTACGTTTCTCTGTTTCGACAATTCCGTATCTCGATCCACGACGAAGACGACGTTTTCGAGAATCGAGAGAACTCGATGGCCTGGCGCGTTAACCGACGATAACTCGGTTCACGAATGAATCGCGATTCGCGACGAATCGATAACTGCGCGCCGAGAATCGACGTCTCGTTCTGGCTCGGTCGCGAGCAGTTGGAAACGGTCTGGAACTACGACAATACCGTCACTTCCGGTGTACGTAGCGGAATCGTCCATTGAATTAGAGCGCCCGCGGCGTCGTTATTCGAGATAAGCGAGTTCGAGTCCCGACTACTCAGCTTTTGGCCGAACGATCGTGACGCGGGTCACGAGTGCGCCCTATCGGTCCGCCATGACTCGGTTTCCCCTCGCTCAGGAATTAATTGCACGCTGGTTCGACTTTGAATAGCCACTCG